CCCCCGGTTTTCCGAGGGGGGAGGGCCGAACCAGTAGTGACCCCCCCCGGTTTTCTGGAGGGGAGGAAGGCGGGGGGGGGGGTTCGGGGACGGGAGGGGTTTTGCTGGGGGAAGGAGGGAGGGGGGGAGGGGGGTCCAGCAGGGGGGGGGATTTTCGGAGAGCGGGGGGACGCGTGGGTTCCAGAGGAAGAGGGTGTGTGTGTGTGTGTGTGTGTGTGTGTGTGTGTGTGTGGGAATTTTCCGCAGTAGAACGGCGGTGGATCACGCTCTTTCGAAAGGTTCGTGAGGTCCCCAGAGGTTTTCCAAGGAGGAGCCTCCGCAAAAAAGAGCTGAGGAGGATGGGGGAAATGCGCAGGGTATGGCGAGAACGAGAAAGAGAAACATGGAGGAAGGACAACGAATGACAACATTTTGGCGGCGATGCTGGAAAAGGGCAACAAGGAGTTATCGATAAATTGTCGGCTTGACCGTCCTGCCATTCCGCCTTCATACCAAACTTCAAGGACCAAGGCGCATGGCGCGAAGCGCCACTGCAGTATTGTATCTCTATATATATATATATATATACACACCCATACATACATACATACATACATACAGACAGACAGACAGACAGACAGACAGACAGACATACATACATAAAATGTTGGCGCTGATCGCGGATTGCTTGGATCCGCGCTGGGCCCCCCCCCGGCGGGGGTCCAGCGCAGATCCAAGAGATCCGCGCGGAACGCCAGCAGCCTATGTGTATGCAATTGCTTGCTCTTCAATCTAATTCTCGCTCGCTCCATAGACCGCCATGCGACTTGTATTGTGTTGCTGGCTGTCGCCACCCGTGTGCCCGCTGGCAGAGCCGTGGGTTGTGTTCAAAGGCACGGCGCTAGGGGATCCCAATCGCTGGTCCCGCGAATACTGCGCGCCATTCGGGTGCCTGTAAAAGATGGGCTCAATGTTTCACTCTGCCTTTCAATGTTGGTCGGTTTGTTCTTCTCTGGCACCGCGAGCACAGTCAGCTTCGCCCAGATGGGATCTTTCAGAAGCGGGCCCGAGCCAGGGATATGTTGCGAATGGATACGTGCTGTCCGTCAGAGATCGACCTGCACGGTGGGTTGGCAATTTTGCAAGCCGCTTTCGTTTCGATGTTGTTTTGCAGCAAAGACAGGCCGAATACAAAACGAGGGACATCGAAATCACATCGAACACGGATGGCATTGTGTACCCCAACCCCCGACGTCACGATTGTTTCCTAACGTCAACCCCCAGAGGTTTCGATCCATTCCCCGGGACCAGTTGTTCATTCTGCGTCGTTCTCTGCCTGTCTTGAGGCCTGGCCAGGGTCCCCAGAGGCAGAATATGGCGAAACGCAGGCCGTCTTATTTTTGTTCGTAAATCGAGGGGGTCGGGTCGTGGTCCTGGGCTGACCCGCTGCCTGCACCCGCTCCCCCCTCCCAGCCGTCGGGCGTGGGCGGGGCGCGGGTCCCGACGGGGCTGCTCCCGCGTGGCCAGGTTCCCCCCCAGGAGGGAGGCGCCCGGCAAGCGTGAAGGAGGACGAATGGTCGCCTGTCTCTCTGCTCTCGGGAGAAAAATTAGCCTGACGAGGGACCCAACCATATGCAGGTGTGAGTACCGCAATAGTGAATATCTTCTTCGGTGGAGCCCCCTGCGGGGCCACGAAACATACGAGGGGTGTGCCGAAATGGGTGTGCGGGACGCATGCGGGCACACCCACTGGGGCCTTCGGTGGAGCTCCCATATGGGACCACAAAACGTGCGATGGGTCACGAAACGCGTGAGGGGTGTGCCGAAATGAGTGTGCGGGACGCATGCGGGCACACCCACTGGGGCCTTCGGCGGAGCTCCCTATGGGGCCACGAAACGTGTGAGGGGTGTACCGAATTGGGTGTGCGTGACGCATGCGGGCGGCAGCACTGGGGCCTTCGGCGGAGCTCCCTATGGGGCCACGAAACGTGTGAGGGGTGTGCCGAATTGGGTGTGCGTGACGCATGCGGGCGGCAGCACTGGGGCCTTCGGCGGAGCCCCCTATGGGGCCACGAAACGTGTGAGGGGTGTGCCGAATTGGGTGTGCGTGACGCATGCGGGCGGCAGCACTGGGGCCTTCGGCGGAGCTCCCTATGGGGCCACGAAACGTGTGAGGGGTGTGCCGAATTGGGTGTGGGTGACGCATGCGGGCGGCAGCACTGGGGCCTTCGGCGGAGCTCCCTATGGGGCCACGAAACGTGTATTGTGTGTTGGCGGTGACGCATGCGGGCGCAGCACTGGGGCCTTCGGTGGAGCTCCCTATGGGGCCACGAAAAGGGGTGTGCCGTGTGAGGGGTGTGAACGTGGGTGTGGGTGACGCATGCGGGCGGCAGCACTGGGGCCTTCGGCGGAGCTCCTATGGGGCCACGAAACGTGTGAGGGGTGTGCCGAATTGGGTGTGGTGACGCATGCGGGCGGCAGCACTGGGCCTTCGGCGGAGCTCCTATGGGGCCACGAAACGTGTGAGGGGTGTGCCGAATTGGGTGTGGGTGACGCATGCGGGCGGCAGCACTGGGGCCTTCGGCGGAGCTCCTATGGGGCCACGAAACGTGTGAGGGGTGTGCCGAATTGGGTGTGGGTGACGCATGCGGGCGGCAGCACTGGGGCCTTCGGCGGAGCTCCTATGGGGCCACGAAGCGTGTGAGGGGTGTGCCGAATTGGGTGTGGGTGACGCATGCGGGCGGCAGCACTGGGGCCTTCGGCGGAGCTCCTATGGGGCCACGAAACGTGTGAGGGGTGTGCCGAATTGGGTGTGGGTGACGCATGCGGGCGGCAGCACTGGAGCCTTCGGCGGAGCTCCCTATGGGGCCACGAAACGTGTGAGGGGTGTGCCGAATTGGGTGTGGGTGACGCATGCGGGCGGCAGCACTGGGGCCTTCGGCGGAGCTCCCTATGGGGCCACGAAGCGTGTGAGGGGTGTGCCGAATTGGGTGTGGGTGACGCATGCGGGCGGCAGCACTGGGGCCTTCGGCGGAGCTCCTATGGGGCTACGAAACGCTGTACTGGGTGGGTGAAACGCAGGGAAGAGGGGGAGGAGGGAGGAGGAGGGGGAGGAGGAGGAGAGGAGAGGAGAGGACAGGAGAGGACAGGAGGACGCGGGGACCGTTTCTTCAAAACGAGGACCCAACACCACAGGATGGTTGGGAAATATAGACATAGGCACAGAGAAACGTCGATTCCGTAGGAAAAGATCTTGAAGCATTGGGGAGCTAGAGAGGAAGACGAGAATCCATAAGAATCTTGAATTAGCATTGCGAAGGACCCAAACATATGCATATGCACATATGCAGTTGTGGGCACAGTCGTTGTATGGACCGCATTCGGTGGAGGTCCCTATGGGCACACGAAGAGTGTGAGGGGTGTGCCAAAAATGGGTGATGGTGGCCGCATGCTAGCACTGGCATCTAGACCTTCGGGGGAGCTCCCTATCGATCCACGAAGCGTGCGGGTGGTGTGCCAAAAAAGGTGTGGTGGGCGCAAGCGAGCGCTGGCATCTGGGCCTTCAGTGGAGCTCCCTATTGGGCCACAGAAATTGTGAGAGGTGTGCCAAAGTGAGGCGGGCGATGGGAGGAGGAAGGAGGGGGAGCAGGAGGAGCAGGAGGAGAGGAGGAGAAACGCGGGGATCTCTCTCTTCAGAACGAGGACCCAGCGCCACAGGATGGTTGGAAGCTTCGGGACCCTGGAATCGGTGTCCCCAGGCATCCGGCGGCTCCATTTTTGTTCGATGCGTGGGCCCCGGAGGTGTGGTCCACTCCCCTGGGGCCGGTTTGTCGTCCCGAGTCGTTTTCTGACGGTCCCGAGGTCCAGCGAGGGCTCCCGGAGGCCGGAAACACCAAAGCCGCCCGCTCCAAGTTTTGTTGGAGCGTCGGATCTCTGGGTCTACTTGGTCGAGCGTCTCCCTGGGCCCATGCAGCCTCTTGGGCACTGGCCGGAAGACGCCACCGTCGGCGGCTGGAGCCTATGCCGCCTCCCTAGGCCGCCCACCTCGGGGTAGCCAATGTGCCGTCCACACGGTCCCCAGCTGCCGCTCGACGGAGGGGCATCTTCCTGGGGTCGACGGGTGGATCGACGGGTGGACAGAACCCCCCACCCTGACACGTCGATCAGCGAATTGTGAATTGTCGGTTCTCGGTTCTCGAGAGGTCGCCGCGGCCGTCATTTTCCAGGCTTGCGCCCGCCAGGTTTGGGCCCAAGGTAGTCTTCACTAGACCACGTTTTACTAAAGGGGGTTCTGTCCATCCCCGGTGGGGCCGACCCCGCGCATCAATCGGTGGCGAAGCGTCTTGGGTTGCCTACCGGGGCCCCCGACGCCGTGATTCTGCCGTGACGTCGGCCCCCAGGAGCCTGGCCCCTTCCTGGGGACTGGCTTTTCATCCCGAGTCGGTTCTTGACGGTCCCGAGGCCCGGCGAGGGCCCCTGGACGCCGAACATGGCGAAAAGCCTCCCGTCGTGATGCTTTAGTCACAGCGCGCGAGGAAGTCTGGGCCACGAGGCTCACCGAGGCATGCTGCCAAGGAAACGCTGGGAGCTCGAGGGGGAGGCGAGGGCCCCGCGAGCAAGTCCGCGCCCGCGCCCGCCCGCCCGCGCCCGCCCGCCCGCACCACGAAAGGACGTCTGGGCAACGAGGCCCACACAGGCATGCTGCCAAGGGAAAGCTGGGAGCTCGAAGGGGAGGCGACGATAGGGGGGATGAGCATAGAGGGAGATGCGTCGACCACCAATCGCCCATTGATCGCCGATAGGGGCCCGATAGCCCCAACCTGCACAGGAAGGCGCGGATTCACCATCGGGGGCCTGTCGCCCATCCGTCGGCGATGCATCGCCGATTCCAAGGCGATGATCCCCCCCCTGTGCCAGCCCCCCCCGATCGTTGCCCCCGATCGAGGGGGAGGCGAGGGGGGCCCGCGAGCCAGGCTGGAAGCCCGCGCCCGCGAAACCGCCGCACCGCCGAACCTCGCGGCCCGTGACCCGCCCTCGCGGCCGCGAGCGGCCCGCCCCCACGGCCGCGACGGTCCAGAGGCCGCACCCGGGCGGTGGAGGGTTTCTCCGTCAGGCTCGGGCGACCCGTCCTCCGCCTCCTCCTCTTCCTCCTCCTCCTCCTCCTCCTACCTCCCTCCTCTCCTCCTCCTCCTCCTCCTCCTCCTCCTCCTCCTCCTCCTCCTCCTCCTCCTCCTCCCTCCTTCTCCCACCTCCTCCTCCTCCTCCTCCTCCTCCTCCTCCTCCTCCTCGTCCCACCTCCTCCCACCTCCTCCCTCCTCCGCCCTCCTCTTCCTCTTCCTCCTCCTCCCCCTCCTCGCCCTCCCTTCATCGGGTCGCCTACGGCCCGGGGGGAAACCGTCCAGGGGGGCGGGGGCGGGTGATCGGAAACTGGAACATGTGAGGCGTTCCAAGTTTCAGTATCGTTGAAACGATTCCTATCCCCATCCCCATCCACATCTCGAGCCTCACCGTATCACCACCTCAGTTGGGGATGTGCACCTCGAAACCCGAAGAGAGCAGCCTATATCCCATCCAGGGGGGTAAATCGGCCAGTGGGGCCTAGCCCACGCTGGTTGGGATGGGGATCGGTGAAGCGATGCTCAAAAAATGGCCTTGACTTCAGGGATCAAAGGAATTGTCATTTCTTCCTCTGCAGAAGGCGGCGGAAGGGCGGCGGAACGTCGGCGGAAGCAAAACTTGGCCGTCTCCGCCGTCGGAAGCCGGCGGAAGCCTGCGGGAGGCCGGCGTGAGGCCGGCGGAAGTAAAAGACGCGCCCCCAAGAGATCGAAACGTTGTTGGGTTCAGGGCTTCCGAAATCGCCCATATGCATTACCAGTGGCGGGCTGTGTTTCAATCCGAGGGCTTTTCCATGGTCGGGGGCGACGTCGGGGTGGTGAGGTGTATACTGCTGCTTCCGCTTCTTGGGGAAAACAGCGAAACATGTATACACCAGGATCCTGTCCGTATGCACCAGGATCCGCTTTCATGTGCAAGCGTCAGTGCAGTGCCGGAAAAAAGCGTCGGCGTATAGAGTTTGTTTTCCCAGGTGAGCGCCCCACTGCCGCTCGCTGTGGCGCGGCAGGGCCGCGATGTGCGATGCCGATGAGGGCAAGGGGGGGGAAGGAGGGAGAGGAGGAGGAGGAAGAGGAGGAGGAGGAGGAGGAGGAGGAGGAGGAGGGGGAGGAGGAGGGGGAGGGGGAGGGCGAGGGGGAAGGGGAGGAGGAAGGGGAGGGGTATGGGGGCGGAAGACTCGCTCGCTCGCCGCCGAACTCCAGCATGCTCGGATCACCTTTCTTCCAGACCTCAGCGGGCGGGTCAGGAGGAACAGGAGGATGAGCACGCAGCGGCACAACCAACTTCTCAGCGAGCGATCGGACGAGAGGGTGCGAGGTTGCCTGCAACGTGAACCCAGGAGCTTCTGCATGAAGCGCCCCGGGATTGGCAGGACATGACAAGTGATTGTGCGCTCAGGTCCCTGGGGCCTCACGACACATCTGGCACTTAGCAACATCGGTGAATTGGACCGCTGCCTGTCGAGCTGGAGACCATCGCCCACCAGAGACATCCGAAACGGCATGCGCCTTTTCGCGGCCTTCAAGCTTGCGCACGCCACTTCGAACTGGTGCGAGAAGCGGGCCGTTCTGCGTCGTTCCATCACGTCGCAAGATCACCGCGGCATGTTGCCAGTACCAGGCATCAACTACGCGCCCGACGGCGCTTACAACCGTCATGGGGCAAAACGTGACAGGAGAACAACTACCGAAGCGCGGAGGGGATTGTTGCGGCCTATCGATGGATATGCGGAGCTGTAGATCGGTCGCAACAACACGACTGGAGGGTCCACGGAGGGCTTTCCGAGGAGAAGCGTGCTTGCCCAGGGAGCGGAGCCCAGGCTCCCCGAAACCCAGGCTCGATCATTCCCATGGGGGCCCAAGACTCCCAGACGGCCGAGGCAAGGCAGAACAGTCTCTCCTCCTCCTCCTCTTCCTCTTCCTCCTCCTCGAGTACACTGGATCAATATAGTTTCTCCTTGCCAGCTGCAGCGTGAGGGTAACGCTGCGACGGGCTAATTTCTGGCCCTGGACTGGGGCCTGCAGGAAGCTGGCCACTCGCACTTCTGTGTTGGATGCGCCCATCACCCCCAGCCCGTATGATGTGGATGCTGGCGCGGCAGCTCGAACCATGCGATACATTGGCCGTCTGCGCATCTTAGAACGGAAGCTCACAATCTGACAATGTCTAGCACGGGCAGCCTTCTCCCACGCTCGCTTGGTAGCTTGCTTGATGATTTCCCCCGCCGCGTACTCCACCCCCATATTCTTCGGCTCCGATTGAGCAGACAAAGCGCGATGAGAACGCAGTTCGCCAGCAAGTTCGGCGCGCAGGGCGGAATTTGATGCCAGCAACCGACTCTGTGGCCGACTGTTTGACAGGGAGGTGGATGGCGGCGAAGGCGTCGCGCAGCATTTTGGCTCAAGCCATTTTGGCTCAAGATCGAGATAGCCAAGGCTCTGATATAAGGACCGCTTAGGGCTTCTTGTGTCCGTTCACCCCTACATCCGCTCACCCCTACATCCGCCTCCCATTACTACACAGACCTTGATTGTTTCTGGGTGCTCGTGTTTCTGCGAAAATGCCGGCGGAAAACCACCACATGGGGACTCCAGTGAAGAGCGCGCTGAAGCAGGCCAGGACGGGGAGCAGCCCTCCGCAGGAGCCACAGCCTATGGCAGCAGAACCTAAGGCAATAGCAGTGCGTCAACAGCAATTTCAAGAGTACATGGACGCACCCGCGGACAAGCCCCTGACCGCCAAGGACTTTGAGACGATTCTGAACCACCACCTCGACCCCATCAGGAACGACATCCAGACTATCAAAACGCACGGCGTATCACGAAAAGACTTAAGCGACACCATCAATCCCATCAAGACCGAGATCGACGCATTGACAAAACGATTGGGACTGCTTGACACAAATTATTTTTCCCGGCCGACGTCAGCAAGATCGGCATCCGGAGCGTCCGTGGACACGGCCACGCAGGCGAAACTCGCAGAGCTTGAACGTGAAGTTTCTCGTCTCCGGGCGCCTGCACAAGGTCACGCACTTCTCCCTGGGCACAGCCATGGCACAGACAAACGGGACCTCACGGCGGTGGTTGGAAATTTAGACGGGTTTGGATCGATTGAGGCCGCTGGGGACTGGATGAAACATGAATTTCAGAAGCTATTGGCACCCACACCATCAAATATCTACACAAAAGGGGAATCCAATAACATGTTGTTCATGGAGTTCGGTTCAACCGACGACAGGAACGCGGTAGTGAACCAGCTTCGCAATGCCAAGATTCAGCACGAAGGCAAAAACGTTTGGGCAGCGGTCGATCGCCCACCTTTAGTCCGAGCCGCTCGTAATTTTTGCTTCGGTGTTAAATATATGCTGACATACACAATGGATATCCAATACCCAGTGCGAGTTGATGATACCACCCATCCATACACGGTCACAGTTGGAGGGAAGTTGGCATTGCCGGTTACGATTGATGGGCAAACCGTTCACCGCGAGTGGAGCAAAGAGTGGCTTGAATGGCAAGAGTTGCAGAGCCATGCGAAGCTCCATGAACTCGTCACGGCATGCGACGGCATCGTGGCTCGTTCGGCGTTGTCCCGGAAAGGCTGGGCCAAAGGTATGGCGAAAGGCGCGAAGTAGGACACGCGGCCGGCATTGGCAGCCACTACCCCATCAAGTTTTTCTTCCTTGTCCAATGCCGGAGCCGACACTGTGGCACTACAAGCAGCTTTTCTGCTAGACTCCGTTTCTTCTTTCTCAAGTCACGTATCCAAGGTGGGCAAAGATACCATAATGGATGCACAATATTACTCTCACTCTCGAGATCGAGCCCTCTCTTCTTCTCAACCTCAATGTTTACGTCTTGCACATTGCTCTCCTCCTCTGGTAAGGGCCCCGCTGCGATGAAGATCGTGGTCGAGAACGCCTTCTACATGTCCAACGCGATTCCCCCTCATTTCTCTCTGCGGGTGATGTTCAGGGCTTGGGCAAAGATGCCACCCCAGACTGTATTCCGGCGACCAGCTCTTCGAGGGCAGGATTGGAGGGGGGGGGATCACGTGTCCGCATCTGCGCCCGGAATGCACCTTATCGCCATGGACGTCGTTTGCGATACTTTCGCAGATCCGCAGGCGTCCGGGAGCCTGGCTCCGACACAAACGCAACTCAACATAGCCACATGGAATGCGAGAGGCCTTACGGACCTCAAGCTGGCGGAGTTGACGCGCGCCACGCAGGCATACAGTAAAGACATTCTTCGTTTGCAGGAAACCAGGAAAACAACGGCTGAAGTGGATCGTACCGACGGTTATCTGTTGATTCGATCTGGAGAAGATACGGAAGGCACATCATATTCAGGAGTTGGAATGAGTATTGCGCCGCAGGCCAAACGCCGCACCAAGTCTTACAAGCAAATCTCTGATCGCATATGCCTCTTCAAATTGCGAGTGAGCCAGGGCGCGCTTGCAATGCTTAGCGCGCGTGCGCCTCGCGACTTGAAGCCGCTGCCGGAACGTCGGATCTTCTATGCGAAGCCTGACTCTGAGTACACGGCCTGCAACGCTAATAAAGGGAATATCTTGATCGGCGACTTGGACGCGAGGATCGGAACGGCGGACGCCGGAGAAGATGCTCTAGGCCAGCATGGGTGGGGCCGGCGAGCAGTGCACCAAGTGGAAGTGCCGAATCGAGATCTCTTGCTCGGGTTCTGCACGGGGTCCTCTCTGAAGATCGCCCACGCATTTTTCCATCGAGAGCTGAGCCAGAAAGTGACCTTCATGGAGGCGGGGTCCGGCCTATGGACGACATCACCGAAAACACGTTCAATATTTTGGATATCAGCTGTTGCGATGCTGCTCATTGTGGCGCCATCAACTGCATGGGTAGTCATCGCGAAGCCGCTCTTGCAACAGATCACTTCTTGGTCGCGTGTTCCATTGCAGTCATGTTGGGCGCTGAACCGCGCAAGGCGCGC